AGAGAGAGAGATAGAGAGATAGAGGGAGCGTGTTATCATGCTGCTCTATTCTGCAAAGCGCAGGTTGCAGTCTTGCTGACCTGCTGAAGGAAGCGGGTCTGAAGCCTGGGGCAAAGCAGGTGGGCATGAAGGGTTTAGGGTTGGGGGTTTGGGGTGTAGGATTCAGGTCCCAGAGGGTCCATACATACTACCATTATGGAATTAGGTCCCCCAAAACCATAGTAAGGATGGTCTTTTGGGACCTAATTCCATAACGGTAATGTATATGGACCCTTTGGGGGTTAGGCTATCTACAACCTAGAGCCTGGATGCATTCAGGATGCGAGGACGCAGACGCCCATCTTGCTCGTGCATTTTGGGGGTTTGGGGGCTGGGATGTTTACTATAGGGGCCTTTCCAATTACCTATACTCTTGTGGGGGCTCCGTATTATTATACTTAGAGTATAATATGCCCTCAAAACCCTATTCTAATTATTAAGGCCCCTACATATACAGACAAGCCAACTTGTTGGGTTTCCGGTTGACGAGATCCTGGTTTCAGCTAGACAGCAGCCAGAATGGTAGTCTGGGTCTCGCGCAGACAGCCAGGTCATCTTCACCGGTGCAGACAAGGGCGTCGAGGGCGGCAAGGTGCAGCAAGAGCTTGAACCCCAAATCCTAAACCCGAAACCCTAAACCCTAAACCATCAGATCCCAAACCTTAAGCCCTAAACCCTAGACCCTTATATCCTAAACCCGAAACCCTAAACCCTCAGATCCCAAATAGCACACAACGCACGAAGCCGGAAGCCGGCCTAGTCTTAGGCTTAAGGTTCGGGTCTTCGGAGGCCCAAGGCCTCTAATATAGGGGCCTTGATAATTAGAATAGGGTTTAGGGTTTAGGGTTTAGGGTTTAGGGTTTAGGGTTTAGGGTTTAGGGTTTAGGGTTTTGGGGCCCATTATACTATTATTTTAATATAGGGGCCTAAACCTTGGGGTTCAGGGTTGAGGATCAGGGTTTGAGATTTATATAGGGGCCTTGATAATGAGAATAGGGTTTTGGGGCCCATTGTACTTTAAGTATAATCAGGAGCCCCCAAAACAGTATAGGTAATTCTGAAAGCCTCTACATTAGCATCAAACAGTACGGTTTAGGCTGAAGCCTCGACTCCCAGCCTCATGCCTGCATCTCTAAACCCTAAACCCGGCCTACACCCTGAACCCTAATGCCTAAACTCTCGAGTTTGGGAGTTAACCATAGGCTCCATGGTAGTTCCTTTTGGGGGTTACTTTATTTCTAGGGTCCTAAATATAAGCCGCAAGAAGGACTTCAATGGAGCCTGTGGGTAATCTCCTATCTCACACACTCCTGCAGCCCGAACGCGGAAGGTGCAGCATTTCCAGCGCTCCCTCTCTGTAGATGATGCCCTCCTGGGCCACGTCATGCTGGTCTATCGTATCTCGGCTTCCAGACCATAGCAGGCTTGCGTCGGTTTGGGTTTTGGAGTTTCGGGCTTAGGGCTT